CCCCCCCCCAAAATCTCAGGAGTTCCCAGGAGAGAGTCCTGACCATTTCCATGAGAATCTCCCTAAATTTGCAGTGCACAAAATCCCCAGGTGGCCAATTCACACTTCCTAATTTGTGTGAAAGAGATATGGTGTCCTGTGACGTGGGGTTTAGATCTCTGGCTGCAGAGCCAGAGGCTGGCAGTTCAATTCCCGACTGCACCTTCTCAACAGGGGGCTGGACTCCATGACCCAGAGGGTCCCTTCCAGCTGTGCAGTTTTAAGATGATGATGATGATAAGCCATAGTAATTTCTTACAGACACACAGGTTCAGTGGGCGTTGCAGGTTGTGAGAAGGGCTTTGTTTTGGGACCTCTGGAGTAACAGTCACAGGAGTGTCTCTGAACATGGAAAAGGGGCATTCGGCTCGGGCGGCTTTCCCTTTCCACATAACAGGGTTTGAAAGGAAAGGATGCCCCAGACGTAACCTTTAGAAGCTGTCACACAGATCCAGAAACAGGAGGACATGCCTTGTGTTTTTTCCTTCAGAACCACCTGTTTTATTGGCTGAAACACACATTCTCTGTGGGGAAACTGGCATTGCGTCCTGTGAGTCCCATCTCTTTGTAAAGATTTTGGCATCAAGAGAGAAGGAAAAATGGGTAGAGACGAGCAGATGGGAAAGATTTGGGAGCAAATCTGGGAGAGCAATGGACACCCACACACACCTTCTTCCTGAAGCCCTATATCGACCCTTATGTGCTGTCCAGTTGGAAACACTAATTAGGAGATTATAGTGACCCTCATGGGGATTTCCAGGTTAAGTGGAATATTCAAGTTGTTTTACCAGTTCCACTCCCCCAGTAGGTTTCCATGGTTGAGGTGGGATTCGAACCCAGGTCTCCAGAGTCCTGGTCTGTCTCTCTATCCACTATTCGACGCATCCCTCTTGGAACCCATCAGTGTCGCTGCTCCAGACATTTCATTTTTATTGTCAGCCAGACCCAATCACAACATTGTACAAGAGGAAGCCATGTTAGTTTGTGCAAACATAATAAATAAAAACAAAATAATAATAATAAAATAAACAAGACTAAAACGTGATGGGACCTTAAGAGACTGTTGCATTTTTTAAAAAATGTGAGCTTTCATGGAGAAGTCCACTTCCTCAGATATACCTTTCTCTTTTGTCTGAGGAAGTGGAAATTTCCACAAAAACTCGTATTAAAAGTAAGTCTTTAAGCTGCCAGAATGATTTTGTCTTTTTTGTTCCTTTGTTTCTCTCTGTGTGTTTATTTGTTTGTTTATAATTGTTTTTACCTATAATAATAGTGATAATCACAACATTGGTGTTTCAAACACTGGGCGCTCTCCCCTGAAATATCTTGCCTGCAGTCCAGGTTTTAGCCAATCTCACCTAGTCTGTTCTCAAGTCTCTCACTGGTGTAAAACAGAGGTTCAGAAAAGTGAGAAAGAATCTCTTGAGCCCACGATCCACTCAAGAATTTATTTTCAGCACCAGAACTGGAGTTGGTGTAGAGATCCCATTTGCAACCTCATTCTGTCACAACAGCAGCTGCACCAACAGCTGTTTTCTACCTGGCACATCTGGAGAGGTGTGACAAGCAAGGAATCTTGGTGTGAAAAACCAGATTGGGGGGAGCGATGATGACTGTCCTTTTACACTCTTGCCTCTTTCATCTTACCAGTTGGGGTGTTTCAAAGCATGCATTGAAATCCTGTTCACTTAAGAGGGTCAAAGTAATGGAGGGAGTATCTCATGCCTGAGGAGATCCCTTCCAAATCCCCCCCTTGTGGGTCTGCATCTACTCTGCACGACCCACAACCCAGAA